TTCTAAACTCTAACTAAACCGGAACTACTTTCTGGCACAGAGTAGACACATTACAATATTATTATTATTTTAATTTAAACTTTTATTTTAGATATACGGGGTGCATGTGCAGTTTTGTTACATGGTTATATTGCACCCAGGTGGTGAACATGGTACCCAAAAGGTAGTTCAACCCCCAGTCCCCCCTTTCTCCCCTCACGGTAGCCCACAGTGTCTACACATTATAATATTGTTATTGTAATTTCACTCCAATCACTCAAGACAACTCCATTCCTGAAGTACCCAGATGGCCTGCATCCTATATTCCTCAGTGTGGCTGCTGAAACCCGCTGGAAAAAAGTTTACAATTTTATAGATTTGGAGACTACGAATTTAGAGTTTTAAATTTCTACCTGAAAACTTTTTTATGTATCTCGGGTGAACTCCCTGGGACAAGTGAACAAACTCATTGTGGGGTGGGGATGGGGGTTGGTTATGACTTGTTTCTCCAAACGACTTTTTAAACATTTATGACTCTCCTTGAACATCCAGCTCATACCCCTTCTCCCCCCAAAACCTCAATCCTCACATTATGCAGTGCACTGTGGTCCTCAGGCCGGGACACTCCAACTTTGGGCAATCTCAGCCCCAGTAGGCCCAGGTTATCTTATCTTTTGCTTCTGCCTCCCTCCTGCCCACCCACTGCAGTGGAATAATGTTCCTTTTCCTGTTAAATGTATTGAATTCTGACTCCTTTAGGGCCATCTCTCCATTAATCACAACAAAAACAAAAAACACAATAATTGTCAGACAAAAAAGAAAAAAAAAGGTACCAGCTATATCATCTATTTCCACATATCCCTTTATCTCCTTTTTATTCCTCATTCTTTTTTAGCCAAACTACTTGAAATGGTCATTTAAACACCCTCTCCATTGACATTCATCATCAACGCTGTTCTCAATCTTTGGCAATATTGGCTACGAGATACTGAGAGCTTAGATATTCCTGGCATTACAGAAAGTTTATTACATTTATTATTGTCTTTAAATCCTGAAAGCACTGTGAAGGAGTTATTATTATCTTCATATTGGAAATAAAGAAACTGAGACTGAGACAATGTAATTTGCCCATTGTCACTACTAGCATATGGAGGAGCTTCGTTTCCTCTGAGTGGCTTTCATGCTGCCCCTCAGCAAACCAAGGTTCATCTGCTGACTTAATCAAGTAATAATTTTGAAATTTGAATCCAAATTTCCAATTTGAAAAGACAAATTTTCATTTGTCTTTTGATTCTATGGTATTGTTTGCTTGTTTATTTGTTTTTACTGTATCAAGCTGCATTTTCTTTATCCTATCTAGAGTGAGTGTGTGTAGAATTTAAAATTTTGTCTTTAAGAAAACAAGTCTTTTGGAGGCAGTTCTTTATTTTTGTGTAGACGCTCATGCTTTCCCTTATTACTGATCTCTGTTTTGTTTTCCAACAGAGCAGACAGACATATCTGAAATAATAGATTAATGATTCACACTTCAGCCAAGTTCCTCTGGGAAGTAACAGATAAATATACACTTATTTATAATGCAGCTTACAAATATCTGCAAAGTAGAGGACACTGTATCAATATTCTCCAGTCACACATGTGAAATACCCAGTCCCTGTCTACCTAATACCTATTGGGCCAGAGAAACATAGTCTGGGGCATGGATGTGTGCATCCATGTGCATCTGTCCGAGTGTCTCAGTCCTGAGACATTCAAGTTCATTAGTTGAATGCAGAGTCCCAGACATTAGAGCCAGGAATAACTTTTAAGGCTCTTAGTTTACCGTTTCACAGGTAAGAAGGTTGAGAGGTTCAAAGTGACCTCTAAATCCATTTTAGAACAGCCAGGACTTAAGCCAGGTGCTCTGAAAGCAACTGCAGTACTCTTTCATCTTCAGACAGTCACTTGGTGTAGCTGAGTCCTGTGTAAAGGGACACATGGCATTTTGGGCATTCAGAGATTCAAGCAGCTCCTTCATTGATATGCACCATGTTACTCTTGAGCCAAGCTGATAATTTCCTATTTTCTCAGACTCCCCTGGGGATAGGAAGGTCTGAATTCCAATAAAAGGCTCCTATTTGATTCTAGGTTTTTTAATGGAATGTATGCTACCATGCTTGTGAATTGGAAAGAACAAGGGTAACTTTCCTCAAGTTGATGACTTGATGCAGATTACCTTGATAGGAGTGTGCTCAGTGAGCCTTGGATCTACAAACCATAATTCTTAGCCACATTCATCATTTTGGTCAATTAATTAAGCCTCAGCTTAAAAGGGCCATTAATATCTATAGATGTTGCTTGCCAAACTCCAGAGTCTTTCTTCACTTGAAAAATATGCTGATCCACCTACAAACTTGGAGCAGAAAAAAGAAAAGACCCAAGGAGCTGGCTCATTCTGCAGTCTTGGCCAGCAATGCTCACTGCTGTGAGTTGACTCATGCTCTTGGCTGGGGAGGTGGATGCCAGTTCAGTGCCCTAGAAACCCTGCTCTCCTACTGTGAAATTGGGGTCCTGAAAGCCACCAAATGTTTATGTCAGAAAGCTAGGAAACACTGGAATAAATTTGTCTAACATGCTCATCTTCTAGCCCCTCAAATCCCCATTTCTACCTCTAGACCTTGAATATCTAATAAAAATCCCTGCAGTATAAATGTTGTAGTGAAAAGAGGCCTGCAGAAAGAGGCATTTTAATTTTCTTTCTACTCTTTATTATCTGTGAGTCCTTAGTCACATCACATAACCTCCTTGGACTTTGTATTTATTTTTTTATGGCTGCTATAAGAAATCACCACAAATTTAGTAGCTTAAAACAATGTAAATTTATTATCTCATTGTTCTTGAGGACACAAGTATGAAAGTAGCATCACAGTACTGAAATAAAGATGTTGGCAGGGTTGTGCTGTCTTTGGAGACTCTAGGGTGATTCTGTTCTTTGCTTCTTCCAGCTTCTGGTGGTTGCCGGCATTCCTTAGCTGTGGCTGCATCCTTCAAATATTTAAGATCAGTATCTTCAAGTCTCTCTCTGCTTCATCTTCATGTCACATCATTCTCTGTGTATCTGTGTGAAAAATCTCCCTCTGCCTCTCTCTTATAGGAAGACATGTGATTTTATTTGGGAGTCCACTTGGCTGATCCAAGATCACCTGCCAATCTCAGGATTTTTAATTTCATCACACTGACAAAGGTAGCATTTGGCAATTCCAGGGATTGGGAAATAGTAATAGTATCTTTTCTGGAGAGGCATTTTTTAGCATACCATAGGCTTCAAATGACTTATTAATTGAATAACAATAATACTGTAACCACTGAAACTATTTTACTTTGAGTTCCCTTCCAGCTATGAGATTGAAGATGCTATGAATCACATATCAATTGCAAAGTATCCCACATTTCAACATGACCTAAAATAAAGCTAATGTAATAGCCTTGGATGTTACCTGTAGCCATAAAGATATTCCTGGCTTAATGGACAATTGATAGATGTTCATCTTTGAGACCAGTTTTTCACTTTGGGTCATTACCTTTGCCTCAGTGTTGTCCCGTTCATCGTGTCCAAAGCCTGGCCATTATTCTCCTGTGTAGACGTGTATCACTGACCGATGCAACTAGCTATCTACCAATAATTTGGACTTCCTTCTTCATAGCAAACAGTCTTTGCTGGGAAGCAGCTACTCAACCAGGGGGTTTTATTTCCCAGCCCCTTTAAATCTGGGTGTGGCTATGTGTCTAATGGAAGGTGGGTGGAAGCAAAGTCTGTCATTTGTAGGCCTGGCCTCCCCGAAGCTTCCATGTAATCCTTCATACTGTCTTTCCTTGATGGTCCATTCCCTGGACGTATGCTCTTGGAGCAACCTTAGAAACCATATTTTGAAGATGGAAGAGGTTCCATCAGCACCAGTTCCTGAGTGGATGTGTTGAGTAAGGCCACAATCTGTTCTCCTATTGATGATTGGACTTTGGTGCTTTAGAAATAAATTAATGTTGTGTCAAACCATGGGTACTTTGGAGTTTATCTATTATAAGCAGTTGCCAACAATTTTCAATACCATGACTGCCAATTTATTCCCATTAGCATGAATGGTTAAGATGGCAGCAGAAAGGAGCTTGCAACCTTCCTCAAGTCATGATAGCTAGACTACCTGCTTAAGAATCCCTTGGGTTTTTGCAAATCCCTATATCTCATTCTAAATAGATGAAATTATGATTGTGGGAGGGGTGATTGTGTGAGTTTTGATGGTAGTAGTGATGATGTAGGCTATATTCTGCATTTTAAATCATCTTCCTAGGTAATTCTTAAGCATCCTAAATTTTGAGGAAACCAGTTTATAGTGCTACCCATCACACTATAAACGAGTCCACATTATGTCTCAGGAGCCAGCAATCCTGGAGCAGAGAGAAATGACAGGAGGTTATCTATATGCTTTGCTTCTTTTTAAGAATGGATCTTGTTTTGAAATTGCATGGGATAACTCATGAGTGGTTTACTAGGAATATAAATAGATAATCACTTTTCACATTAATATTGTCCTGCACGGTTCCAACCTTCATTGGATATTGGAGGTTTGGTTATATCAAAGTGAAAATATATGTAAATCGTAGCTATTCCAGGACTAGGAGTAGGGTGAGGTGAGTGAGACACTTGCCTTGGGTGCAAAAGTTAAGGGAACACCAAAAACCTCAGTAATTGAGATAAGTAAAATTGTAATGCTATATTTTTAAAAATTAAGATTAATGCAAAAATCTATAATGAAAAATGTCAAAATTTTAAATAAAGATAGACACATTGATTACCAGCTGAAGATGGAAAAACTCGAATTAGTGCTTGTATTTTTATAGAGTCGAATTTTGCACAGTAACTTCGATTCTCTGCCCCAAACTAAAAGGTTAGTCAAAAGGATGAATTTGATAAAGAACATGTCAGTAAAAGCCAATGACTTTATTGGCAATTAATGAATATTTACTAAACACACCTTTCGTTACAGGTGCTGAGAATACAACAATGAAAAACCCAGATTAAGCCTCTACTTTTGTGGAGTGCCCTACAGTTAAATGACAGATGTCACTTTTGCTGTCAACGCATTTGCTAGCACTACTTAAATGGCTCATTTCAACTGTAAGGGAGAAAAGAAATGAAATCCTGCCATGTACCTGGAGATTGGAGCACAAGAAATACTTGGTAAACAGCAGAAATGACCATTATCACAGTGCACCCTTCCCACCACCAAACATTTGACCCATTCTCTCTCTCACAGGCAAGGTACTTTCCCATGGGAGACACAGCAAACATTCTACTTAGACATGTCAGGAAGCTGAAATTCTAGAGGCTGTGAATGATGCCAGGCATCATTCAGGTAGGCTCTGTATCAGATGGCATTTATATCAAGTCTGAATGTGACTTATCTTCATGCAAAGCTCTATGAAATAAAAAAGTAACTTTTATGCCCTGTATGGATTTCCCAGGGCTGACATAACAAATAATCACAGATTTGGAGGGTTGAAACAACAGAAATTTATTTTCTCATGGTTCTGAAGATCGGATGTTTGATAATGAGGGATCATCAAGGATGCGCTTCCTCCAGAGGCTCTAGGGGAAAATCCTTTCTTGCCTTTTCCAGCCTAGGTACCTCCAAGTGTTCCTTGACTTGTGGCTGCATAACTTCAATACCTGCTTCCATATCCACATATCCTTCTCTCCTGTTGCCTGTGTCTGTATCCTTCTGCGTGTCTTTTTAAAGAATACTTGCCTTTGGATTAAGGAGCCACACAGATAATTCAGGATGATCTCATTTAAAGATACATAATTAATTTCATCTGCAAAGATGTTTTTTCCATAATAAGGTCGCAATCACAGGTTCAGGTTCAGGGATAAAGATGTGTGCTGACCCTGTGCTTAAATGGGGAGTGTGATGACCTAGTTCTATGGGGATTGAGATGACCCTGTGTGCTGATGTGGGGCGTGTGATGACCTAGGGTCTGTAACATTTTATGTCATAGCCAAGGAATAATTTTCCACTCTTCCTTCCAGGTTTATACAATATCACAGCAATCAGTGACATTAATACTATTATTTAGAGATGAATTGAGTGACTCATAACTTATTATAGATTTCAAAAGCTTTAGCTGACTTCTCTCTTGAGAATTTGCATTTATCCAATCTCTGTTTCCAAACAGTGGATGCTAACATCATGAAAAACAATGGCCGTGCTTCATAAATGAAGTTAACCATGCTGGTTCACTATGCATGGCACATGCATCATGCGTCATGGGGAAAAACCATGCCCTGCATATTTATTTTCTTAAAACTAAGATGAAAATACTGGCCCAGTATCAAAAGAATATATTCCTTGAATATAGTTTTCTAGTTTGTGAATAACTTCCCTGAACTGAGCTATTTATTATTGCTTATTATCTTTTGATACATACATTTCAGAAAGAGTTGCCTCTGGTGAGGGATAACGAGTGTTCTAAAAGAACAGAGTAAAGTCCTCTGGCTCTTGGAGGGACCTCAGACTGTCACATGCTTGAACGGAGAAATTTCAGTGTCTTCTTATCTTTACCATATTTTATTGCCCTCCACAAAGAAGGGCCCAAATATGAATTTTTAGAAATACATATTTCATAAAAGCATTTTGGCAGTTATGAGATTAAAATATAATAAATATTCTTTAAAAATACAAGTGAAGGTGATATTTACTTACAGTAAGGATTTGTCTCTTGAAGCAAATCACATGTCATGACTATCAACAAAATGCAATTCAAACCACAGTGAGATATCACCTCACCCCAGTTGGAGTCCCTATTATCAAAATGACAAAAAATAACAAATTCTGGGGAAGATGTGGAGAAAGGGGAACTCTTAAACACCGGTGTTGGTCATGTAAATTAGTGCTGCCATTATGAAAAAAGTGTGAAGTTTCCTCAAAAAATTGAAAATAGAACTATCGTGTGGTCCAGCAATCCCACTGCAGAGTGTATATCCAAAGACAAAGAAGTTAGTACAGGCATACTTCATTTTATTGTGCTTCACTCTATTGTACTTCAAATATACTGTGTGTTTTTATTTTATTTATTTATTTAGTTTTAGTTTTAGTTTTGGTTTCATTTCTATTACCCAGACTGGAGTGCAGTGGTGTGATATCGGCTCACTGCAACCTCCACCTCCCCAAGTGAGTCTCCTGCCTCACCCTCCTGAGTAGCTGGGATTACAGGCACCCACCACCATACCCTGCTAATTTTTGTATTTTTAGTAGAGATGGGATTTCACCATGTTGGCCAAGCTGGTCTTGACCTCAGGTGATCCACCTGCCTTGGCCTCCCAGAGTGCTGGGGTTACAGGCGTGAGCCACCGTACCTGGCCAGATACTGTGTTTTTTCCAAATTGAAGGTCTCTGGCAATCCTGTATCAAGCAAGTCTATCAGGGCCATTTTTACAACAGCATGTGCTCACTCTATGTCTCTGAGTCACATTTTCATAATATTTCATAATATTTCTAACTTTTTCATTATTATTTTATCTGTTATGGAGATCTGTGATCAGTGATCTTTGATGTTACATGGCAATTGTTTTGGGGTGCCATGATCTACCTCCGTAGAAGATGGTGAAATTAATCCTTAATTGTTGTGTGTATTATGACTGCTCCATTGACTAGCTCCTCCCCTGCCTGTCCAACACTCCTCAGGCCTCATCCCCTGAGACACAACAATATTATAATTAGGCCAATTATTAACCTTACAATGATCTCTAAGTGTTCAGATGAAAGGAAGAGTCTTGTGTCTTTCATTTTAAATTGACGGCTAGAAATGATTAAGCTTAGTGAAGAATGATTATCGAAAGCTGAGATAGGCCAGAAGCTACGCCTCTTGCTTCAAACAGTTAGCCAAGTTGTGAATAAACAGGTAAAGTTCTTGAAGAAAATTAACAGTGCTACTCCAGTGAACATATGAATAATAAAAAAGCAAAACAATCTTATTGCTAATGTGGAGAAAGTTTTAGAGGATGGAAGATTAGAAGGATAGAATATTAATCAGTTACAACATTCCCTTCAGCCAAAGCCTAATCAAGAGCAAGGTCCTAACTTTCTTCAATTCTATGAAGCCAGAGAGAGGTGAGAAAGCTGCAGAAGAAAAGTCTGAACCTAGCAGAGATTGATTCATGAGGTTTAAGGAAAGCAGCCATCTCTATAGCATAAAAGCACAAAATGAAGCAGCAAGTACTGATGTAGAAGCTGCAGCAAGTTATCCAGAAGATCTAGCTAAGATCACTGATGTAGGTGGTTACACCAAACAGCACAATTTCAATGTAGATGAAATGCTGGATCCTTATTTTACAAGAAGATGCCATCTAAGACTTTCATAGCGAGAGAGACAAAGTCAATGCCTGGCTTGAAATCTTTGAAGGACAGAAGGGCACTCTTGTTAGGGGCTAATGCTACTTGTGACTTTAAGTTGAAGTCAGTGCTCATTTATCATTCTGAAAATTCCAGGGTCCTTAAGAATTACGGTAAATGTGCTCTGTCTGTGCTCTATAACTGGAATATCAAAGCTTGGATGACAGCATATTGTGTATTCAGCATGTTTTACTGAATATTCGAACCCCACTGTTGAGACCTACTGCTCAGAAAAAAAGATTTTTTTCTATATACTATTGCTCATAGACAATGCAACTAGTCAAGAGCTCTGATGGAGATGTACAAAAATATTAATGTCGTTTTTATGTTTGCTAATATAATACCCATTCTGCAGCTGATGGATGAAGGAGTAATTTCAACTCTCATGTCTTATTTTATTTAAGAAATAAATTTTGTAAGGCTACAGCTGCCATCAATAGTGATTCCTCTGATGGAATCGGGCAAAGAAAATTGAAAACTTTCTGGAAAGCATTCACTGTTCTAGATGCCATTATGAGCATTCGTGATGAATGAGAGGAGGTCAAAAGATCAACTTTAACAGGAGTTTAGAAGAAGTTGATTCCCCCCCGGGATGACTTTGATGAGTTCAGGGAAGTCACTGCAGATGTGGTGGAAATAGAGAACTAGAGCTAGAAGTGGAGCCTGAAGATGTGACTGAATTGCTGCAATGTCATTATAAGACTTGAACAGATTAGGAGTTTCTTCTTATGGAGGAGCAAATTAAGTAGTTTCTTGAGATGGAGGCTACTCCTGGTGAAGATGCTGTGTACATTGTTGAAATGACTACATAAAATTTAGAATAGTCCATAAACGTAGTTGATAAAACAGTGACAGAGTTTGAGAGGATTGCATCCAATTTTGAAAGAAGTTCTACTGGTGGGTAAAATGCTATAAAACAGCATCACATGTTATATAGAAATCTGTTTGAAAGGAAGAGTCAACTGATGAGGCAAAGTTAATTGTTTTATTTTAAGAAACTACCACAGTCATTTCAACCTTCAGCAATCACCACCCTGATCAGTCAGCAGCCATCAGCATCAAGGCAAGATGCTTCACCAGCAAAAAGATGACAACTTGCTGAAGGCTCAGATGACTGTTTGCATTTTTTAGTAATAAAGTATTTCTCAATTGGGTATATACATTTTTAAAAGACAATGCAATCGCACAGTTAGACTACATTATAGTATAAACATAACTTTTATATGCACTGGGAATTTAAAAATCCATGTGACTCAATTTATTGTGACATTTGTTTTATTGTAGCAGTTGGGAACTGAATTCATACTCTCTCTGAGGTATGCCTATATGTCAAAGAGACACCTGAACTTCCATGTTAATTGCAGCACTATTTGCAACAGCCAACACATGAAATTGAGCTAAGTGTTCATCAGTGTATAAGTGGAAAAAGAAAATGTGGTATATTTACACAGTTGAATGATATTTAGCCATTAAAAAAAATGAAATCCTATCATTTGCAGCAATATGGATTAGCCTGGAGAACATTGTGTTAAGTGAAATAAGCCAGGTGCAAAAAGACAAATACTGCATAATCTCACCTGCATGTGAAATCTTAAAATGTTGATCTCATATGTTGATCTCTAAAGAGAGATCATATGTTGATCTCTAAAGAGTGGAATAGTGGTTACCAGAGGTTGGGGAGGAAGAGGGAGTGGGGAGGATGAAGAGAGGTTGTTCAACAGGTACAAAGTACAGTTAGGTAAGAGAAATTATTTCTGGCATTCTGTTGCACAGTAGAGTGGCAATCGTTAATAATAGTACGTTGTATATTCCAAAGTAGCTACAAGAGGATTTTGAATGTTTCCACCATAAAGAAATAGAAATGTCTAAGGTGATAGATATGCTAGTTACTCTAATTTGATCATTACCCATGGCATACATGTATGGAAACATCACTTTTTGCACAATAAATATGTACAATAATTATGTGTCAATTAAGTTTTTTAAAAATAAGACAACTGAAGATCAATAGAGAACTAA